ATCCTCTCCCTACCCGCACAGACCCGATCTGTGGAAAAAACTGTCTTTGTCTTACTTAAACCCGTCCCTGGTACCAAAAAGATTGGGGACCACTGCTGTATGACAATGTGATAATTGAAACAGATCAAATACAAAAAGCAAATACAAGGAACTCTGGTCTTCTGTTAAGCGCAACTATTAAAGAGATTTGCAAAAAACTGGAAAAACAATGCCACTCTCCTACTATCTATTATTTGGTTTCAGAAAACATACTCTACTTTTTCATAAAAGATGTATTTTATTCATGAGTTTATTTTTAATAAATCAATAAATATGTTATCTCTTATTACTTTATAAGTATAGTAAATAGAGATAAATATTAAGCCACATAAAATAACAAGCTCTTTAGGTGCACTTGCATAATTAAGAGTGTAAAGGAGTCCCAAGATGCACAATGTATTTAGGGAAGCACTGATTAGAATCTAAGGCCTTTGACTATTTGGCACCATCTACTAAAGCTGAACATAGGCATATCCTGTGACCCAACAATCCCACTCTTAGAATACACTCAATAGAAATGTGTACCTACGTGAAACAAAAGATATCAAAATAGTCATAGCAGCATTAGTCATTAGACAAAAAAGTTATCCATGTACATTTGAGTAAGCAAATTGTATATGCATACATTGAAACACTATAAGACAACAAAAAATCAACATATAGATAACATGGATGAGTTCCATAAACAAGGGTATAAGAGGAAGCAGACCTAAGAATGCACACTCCCTTATTTCATACTATTGTGTTAGAAGTCAGGGCCGGCCTGGTGGCTCACGCCTGTAATCCAAGCTCTCTGGGAGGCCAAGGCGGGAGGATTGTTTGAGCTCAGGAGTTTGAAACCAACCTGAGCCAAGAGCAAGACCCCCTCTCTACTATAAATAGAAAGAAATTAATTGGCCAACTAATATATATAGAAAAAATGAGCTGGGCATGGTGGTGCATGCCTGTAGTCCCAGCTACTCGGGAGGCTGAGGCAGAAGGAAGGATCGCTTGAGTCCAGGAGTTTGAGGCTGCTGTGAGCTAGGCTGACACCGTGGCACTCTAGCCTGTGCTACAGAGTGAGACTCTGTCTCAAAAAAAAAAAAAAAAAAAATGCCCAAATATCAGGAGTTTTTACCCAAGGGATGTTTGCACAGTCTTTTACATTTCATGTTTACTTAATATTTTTTCCAACATATTTCCTGATTAACGAGTGAAAAAGCAAAACAAAGTCATTTTTCTCCACTCATTCCTTTGTTCCTGACAGCATTTAGACTCAGTAACTTCTAAAATGAATAAAAACTTCATCATAATTACTATTACTCAGAAAAGACTTTAAGACCATTTTACCATCACTCTTCAGATATCAACAAAATATTAAAAAAATTAAAACTCAACATACCTTTTTAAAAAACTTGGCACAACTGAACCACCTGTCTTCACATCATTATCTGGGCTATTTAGCAGGTTAATTGGGACTCTTCCAAATGGGCATGACTAAAAATGTTTTGAAAGATTAAGTAACCAACTGGGAAATAAACAAAGACTTCACTACTATCACACCACCTTAATCAAAGCAAATTGAAAATAACTTACCCGTTTAGTTTTGTTAGCTTGTTTCAAGGGATTCCGATGACCTATTTCTGCATCTTGTGGGGGCATGTTCTCGCTAAACAGAAAGAAAACACCCCTAATTTTTCAAGAAAAATATCAATATGAATTTCTACTCTACTGCTAAACCCTGTCACATTTATATGAAAATATATATGTAGATACATGTGGTTACATGAAAACACATATGTAGATGTATTTATATACATGATGAGCATTTACAAAACTGTTTCAGTTTCCTTACCCATATAAAAACCTGGCTTTAGTAGCCTGTCCTCTAGAATCACAGCTGATGTTCCTATTCTGTAAATGCCCAGTTGAACTGCAGAATGATTCTTGGGGAGTTAATATTGTAGACGCTGCGAAAATTTTGAAACTGATTAAATTTGTAAGGACATAGAAATGCATAAAAAAGGACATCTGACAAGAATATTTAAAAAGTCAATTCATGGTAAATATTTGTTCCCAAGTAAGATATCCAGACATGAAGATGATATCGAGATAATTTTCTAACTACTTCAAATTCTCTTGTTATATAACTGTTTTCCCAGAGTAAAAGTACATTTTCTATTTCCCCCAAAGCAAAAAGCCATTCTCTTGTTTAGACAGTTGTTTTTAATGTGTTACCTATGACATTTTGATTAGCCAAAATAAAAAAAAAGATAAATTTCAACAGGATTGTAAAGGCTTTTTTACTTCTAAAAGTCTTGCCTCCTTTACATCTATAATTTAATCTTAGATTCTGACCACTCTACATAAATATTTTTCTATAAAATATTATTCTGAATCCTTACTTGTGGTACTACCTACCAAAGAAAAGTATTAGCACCCATTAATAGTTACCTGATAAATTCTTCTTTTCTTCCTCTGAAAGCAGCTGCTTTTTTTGGAGGTTTAAATTCCGTAGAGCAATTTCCAGCATTTCAAGTGGTACTGCTCCACGTTCTACAGCTTTCTGAAGAAGTTGTTTACTTTTTTTGAAATTACCTAACAAAGAAAAATAACTGTCATGTTTATGCAGCAATCTTTACCACCCTCCCTGACACAGATACTTATTCATCAGGACCTAGCAAAAAATTTAAAAGACTTGAGCAAAACTATTTATTACAAGGCTCACATAAACAACTCTCTTCTGATAACAATTCATGTCAAAATAGTTTCCTTGTGTAATATGTAATTGACATAATTGTGCATTAATTTATCATCATTGTCCATTTTCAGAAGTAACAGAAGTATAATAAAGCCATTACCCCCCAAAAGCAAAATAACTGAGAGACTATCATAATTACCTTTCTAACTACTGATAGATTACCAAATTTTCTTTCAACTACAAATTTAACCCTAGTATTTGATTTATAAATATTAAATATATACATCATGTATTCTACAAAATATGTGATCAACTTTATGGGAGCCACTGAGTTATGCTATGCACTTGGCACTTCAGGATATTTAGATGAGTAAGAGAGGACCTCTAGCTTCTGATAGTGTAAAAATTTTTTTAAAATATAAATATATTTGATAGTGGTTAAGTCCACATTTATTGAGAATCATGTATTATTTCAGGACAGCAAAAGAAGAGAAAGGCTTAAATTAGAACCAATAATTAGGAAGCTTATTAATTAAGGTCATAGATCCCTTTGAGAATCTGATAAAAACTATGGAATGTCCTCTATCCCTCCAAATATACACACACACCAGAGTATGCATAGGATTTCAGGGATGTTGCATATTTCCTGACAGGGTATCTATCAACCTTGCTCAAAAATAATCACATTTTTGATTGAGGCTACTACCACATTAGAGTTGTACAGATAAAGTTTATTTCTTTTTTAACAGATAATTCACTTTAAGATTTTCAATATTTACGTGTTCTAAAAATGTAAAATTTATAGTTGCTACTTTTTTTAAGTAGAATGGAAAGACAGAGTCTTAAAGGTCTGGCCAAACTTACTCTAACAAGAAGGAAGAATTAATTTTTCTAGGCAGAAAAGGATGATATTTTAAAAAGTAAGCTAATGATGTACAGGATAGATTGGATAAGACGATTTTGGATTACTGGGACCCAGAAATCATGTCAATAGGTAAAAGGTCAGGGTTCTCAAACCATCTCCAAGTTATATAATACTTTTCTTCAACTACAATCTTGGAGAATACTTTCCAGTGACTGAGCCCTGCTTTGGGCACCTCATGGGGATTCTGCCAATAGTGACAATATGTTTATCACTGGTGGTAAATGGGATTAGAATTGTAACAGAAAACAGGGCAGAGGGAAAATAGGAACACTTGGCAGGAGGGCAGAATGATGGTACATACAAAAGCTCCAGAAAATGAGGAAAAAAGAAAAGACTAAGGAATAGCCAGGCTAAAAACATCTAAGGAAGACTTTCCTGGTCCTATCCAAAAGGTCCAGACTATGAAGAACCAAGTGAGCAAGAAATAAAGCTTCTATAGTAGTTTACCTTTTATTTTAAAGGAGAACTACCAATTAATGCTACAGCTATATTTTAATATCTATTTTTATTATATGAAAGCACAGCATAAGAAAAGTTTATCTAAGCTCTAGTGCTAATGTTTTATGTCCTTCATTCTACAAATAATCAATGGAAAAGCTACTTTCCTTTAGATGCTTCCTGAATCTAACTGATAGAGCAAACACAATGCTCATGCTTATTTCTATGGATTATGCTTAGGTGGGATTATCCCTCATATTCTCATTTGACCAACTTTAATGCCTTTTGCCTCAAATTTCCACTTCATATATATATGATTCAATATTAGGATATAAGTTATAATATGAAGTTGTTTTTTACTTAAAATTTGGATTTGACATTTTCAGATTACCTTGTGACAATTCAAATTGTGCAAAAGATATATGCACAAAAGCAAATTTCTTGCAGTTTGCTCTGGCCATTTGAAAGTAGTCACGTGCGTCATCTGGCTCTTGAATACTGTAACAAAAAATTTCAGTCAAATTTTAAGAAAAAGAACACAGCTATCTAAATTTGATAACTCTTCATTCTACTTTCTAAAAGACATGGGATATTGCTGTTTGCCATCTGTAAAATTAAATACTAATAAATTATTTTTCAAAATCTCTTTAAGCAGTGAAAATATGCAATATTTATGGAAACATCTACATAGTAAAGAGAGTTTACATTAACCCTTGTTAATTATAAGCAAAAGTATTTGGTCAAAAATATTAACTTTCTCAGAAGTAATCCTGACATGTTTTCATTTTCCCTCTTTGCAACAAAGTTACATAAAACCTATTATAGTTACTTTAACTGTAGTTAAAATACTAATACTTACGCTTTTAATTCAGCAAATCTCACTTGAATTCGAGCAAAACTCTCATTTTGGCCATATTTATCTGGAGGAAGTGCTTCAATTGCTTGACTGTAACGACCAATCAATTTATTTAAAAGAGCATCACTTAGGGGGACACTGTTTTTCTCTAGTTTGAGCAACAAATTCAACCAGTCCTCTGGGTTGTTTGCCATCATCATAATTTGGTTAACAGTTCCTGAGTTATCTGAATAAGGGGAACAAAACATATCACAACAGAAGACATAAAACAAATGCTAAATTCCATTTTCCCTTCAAATTATAGTTAAGCATTTATACTCTGAGTATCAATGTATATAAAATCCTTGTAATTTTTTTTAAACTTTAACAATTCATATAAATATAAGCAACTCATTTACAGTATATTTATCCTTTTTGAGGGTAAATTTTATTTATTCCAAAAAGCTATATATTTTGAAGAAAAAAATTGAAAAATAAGTGGGGGATTTTTTTATAAGCAGCCTTTAAAAACTGTATGTAGTCTAAGAAAATTTTATGCTGTAGCAGCATAATTATAATTTTAGCATCCTAACTATCCAGAGAAAACCTAAGTCTCTCCCACCACCACTATCTATACCAACTTTCTTAGAAAATTCTCCACCAATGATTTACTCGTTAAATATATTGCTCCAGCCCTAACACGACTTTCTTTACAACCTCACCCATCCAACATTATCACCATATACCTCAAACACTTGTAAAACAACCAAAAAAAACAACCTTAAAAAAAAAAAACAAACCAAAAGGGCAATTTCTTCTCTCTCCAAGTTACCTACATTTCCTCTGGAGGCCCTGCTAATTTCCTGGTCCCACAAAACTATTGCTACCCTGGTCTAGACATCCAGCATTTATAGGACCTCTTGTGGCTATCAGTTTTTTCTCTGTGGAACCCCAATCATAAACTTCACACTGTAGGCCGGTGCAGGCGGGTGGCTCACGCCCATAATCCTAGCACTCTGGGAGGCCAAGGCCGGAGGATTGCTCAAGGTCAGGAGTTTGAAACCACCCTGAGCAAGAACGAGACACGTCTCTACTATAAATAGAAAGAATTAATTGGCCAACTAATATATATAGAAAAAATGAGCCGGGCATGGTGGCACATGCCTGTAGTCCCAGCTACTCGGGAGGCTGAGGCAGTAGGATTGCTTGAGCCCAGGAGTTTGAAGTTGCTGTGAGCTAGGCTGATGCCATGGCACTCACTCTAGCCTGGGCAACAAAGCGAGACTCTGTCTCAAAAAAAAAAAACAAAAAAAAAAAAAAAAAAAAAAACCTTCACACTGTAATGCACTTTTTATTTTCTTTAGTGTTGTTTTAAAAAGAAAACTTACCTTCTTACAAACGTTAAGGTTACGTAAAAAAAAAAAAAAACTTACCTTCTGTTTAGAATATTTTAGTTATCACTAAGCATTATCAAATTCAGATTTCCCAGAGAAGCTATCATTCCTTCTATCAGCTTCTGTTATCTTCAATAAAGCTTAAATCTTTACTTTTGGAAACAAAATTACTATTTCTGCTTTCTATTAAAATATAATACATTCACTCTGGTTTCTTACTTTAAACTTAATTTTGTCTGATCTTCACCTAATTTTCTCTCCTATTGCTTTATCTCCTATTGCTTTCCTAACAAATTAGTCTGTGAAATGTCTAAAAAACAAATTCTTCCATCTGTGGCTTTGCAGATGTATTCTTCATGTCTTTGAGTACCCCATTCTTCTTCTATGCAACACATACAGCATTAAATGTCTTTACCATGCTAGTATTCCTGATACCAGCATCTATTACAATGTAGCACAGTGAATATATAAATTCCCATCTAGAAAAAAAACTATGGTTTTAAGCATCTTTGAACCTTAATACTTAATGTCTTACATCATGATTATCAACATAATGTTATGTTTAGTTTTGAGTAAGCTATGGATCAATGGTATTTAAGGAGGTACTCATCTCATCTACCTTGCTGTACAAGTTTTCTTAGACCTAGTCATGATAAAGTATGATGATACTCTATTAAGACTTTGACACCAAAATTATCATTTTCTAGGTTGTTCCAAAGTAAATGTAGTCTGTCACCATAACTAGATCATAAGTTTTTCCATTTATTTTCAATCCCTCATCCATTTAACGGTTTGTATAGATATAACAACAAATTTATCCAAGGGTATTGTTCAAATGACCTCAACCATTTGAAATATAGAAAAGGATCAGGCTTCTGAGCTAATACTTTTCACAAAGCTAGGGTATGAAACTTTGGGCACTTTCACTCATTCATCATCATTCAACAAATATTTAATTGCCAGGCACGATTTTAAGTTCTGTGAATATAACAAAATAGATAAAAACCCTGCCCTAATGGAGCTCACATTCTAGTGGAGGAGAAAAACAATAAGCAAACACATGAGTAAATTATCTATAAAGTGATCAGTAATGTGGAGAAAAATAACATGGAAAGAAGGCAGGGAAAACAAACCCAGCCCCAGGAAACTGATATTTTAAACAGGTAAGTTATGGAAGGCCTCACTGACATGACATTTAAACAAAGACCTGAAAGAAGTAAGAGTAGGCAGATATATGAGGAACAGTATTCAAGGTATATAGCAAGAGTAAAAGTACTGGGGTATAAGCTGGTCTAGCATACAGGTGGGACATTAGGGAGCCACTGTGGCTGAAAACAGACTATAAGAGAGAATAAGAAAAAAAGGCCAAAGGAGTAATATCAAGATTCTCCAAATCAAAAATTGAATGTTTGATGTTAAATTTACATATCATTTTATTAAGATTGGTAAGACTTTCTCACTTCAGAGCAAAAAAGGAATGGAATAAACAGTAATCTATTGAAGACACACACATCAGCAGAAATAGCTGACAATAATGGAAGAGTTAAGACAATTACCTCTAAGCACACTGTAATAAATCATGTTTTCTTTTTGAAGTAAGCAGAAAATTACGGAATATTTTCCACACAAAGGGGTTAGAATATAGTGATTGTGCTATGATGGGTAAACATCAATTACTGAGAAGATTACATTATGTTAACATATAGTGGTTAACATCTCATTCCTTTATCTTAGAGGACACTCAATAAAGTTATTACTCTTTTTAAAAACAGAAAAACTCACCTGTACTATCAGCAGAGACTTTATTCAAGCTTAGCTCATCAGTAAGGTCTTCATTTTTAAACTTATTTTTAATATCTCTCACTTTGTTCATTATGGAATCAATTGTCAATTCTCTGCCACTTAAATCCTCAGACTCCATTTCTAAGAAAAAGATTGAACCAGTCATAATTCCTATTTTAACTAACATCAAGGGAAAACGCACACACACACAGAAGCCTCTCAGACCCAGAAGACAAAAGCATTAGTTTTGAGAACACATCTAAATGCAGATATTATCAGGGTAGTGTTAGCAGAGCTATGCACAAAAACAAGGGACACATCTTTGTAATTTGTCCAGCAAGGTTTCACAGTCCAAGTATACCTTTACTTCCCAATATAACCTCAATGAAGCCACTAGAAGTCATTGCACTACACAAAAATGCTGCCCCCTTTTAAACTTTCAAATTTTCTTCTATCCACTGAATGCCTTCCTTTCACTTTTCCCAAAATTATTTTTGTCTAGGCCATCTGCAAACTTAGTCATTTAAAAAAAAAATGGAGTGTTTGCTTGGATTCTGGTAGTGACATATAGACATAAGAATCCTTTTGGTAATGAGAATAACCATTCCTTTATTCACCTGCTTTACATAAATAAATCTTCACGTGCAAGTGCTTTCAAAGCAGAATATGAACATCACTGGCCTTTATTGATAATTGGGATATCAGCAAGTTTGTTCTTGTGTATACCTAACAGAATTATGATTTGCTACCTTAATTATTCTAATATCAAGAATCTACTGCACTTCTGTATAGTGCTCATCTACCTGGTGGTGGTGTTTAGTCAACAAAGCGTCTGCAGTCTTTCTGTCAATAGCATCTTTGTGATTCTCAAACTTCAACCCACTAACTTAGAGTCACTGATATCTCTGCCGCCAACCCCGTCCTCGAGTTTAACAATGCAAGGGGGCGATAAAATAGGTGGCAAGATATCATCCCATCTCTTAGGTTTGAAAGCTAACTGTCCGAATGTAACACAGCCACCACCCCCTCTCCCAGTTCTAACCCACTAGAAAAGAGACAGTCTTTTGGGAAAAGATTTCATGTGCAGGTGCCCCCACAATTCCCTTTCCAGCGAGGTACACACCCACTTCTTACATCCTCAAGAAAAACACGCATAACCACACCCACTAGACCCGCCGAGGCAGCGAGGCCTCCCCTCCCCCTCCAGCTCACTTAGCTGTGCCCTATGTCGTCTACTTGGCTCCGAGCTGCCTCCGCCTCGCCCCCAACCCTTACGGACCACCGCCGCAGGCGAGCCGACACACCGGCCACCGCCGTGTCCCTTGGTGCGTCCGCGAGGCACGACTCACCTACAAGAAGCCAAGCTGAGGAGAAGAAAAGATGGAACCCAAATCCCTTTCCGGAAACAGGTTTGAATTTCCCCGCCGCTATCTCTGCGACCGCCTATTGGTCAATTCCAGTCACGTGAAAGCGTCCGTCGTGATTGGTCCATGTGTATCGAGGCAGCCCCTCCTCCTCTGTCGGTCCGGTGAGCACCGCCCCGGAAAAGTCCTCGGCCCTGGCCCCGCCCACGCGGGGCCTGCAATGGTGGAGTTCTGGCATTCGGCAGGCATTCCCCGGGTGCCTATCAGCCGGCTTTCCCGCACCTTCCAGTTTAACTAGCCCGAATTTTTGCCACTCCCGGGCGAACCCAGCCGGTGAGAGGAAAATAGGGGCGGGGACGGCTGCTCCCCAGCATCAGGACCTGAAAGGTGCACCGTGGGTCGGCCCTTCACCCACCCTGCCACCCCGCTCCTTGGTCCCCCGCGCTCCTCACTGCCGGGCTTAGGAAGGATGTGGCAAGAAAGGATCTTTCACAACACTACGTTCAGCCCTTCCTCCAGCTCAGAAATCTCGGTGCGTTGTGTCCTTGAGCTTCCACTTACGCCCTTCCACTATCCTTAATTGACTCCTTGCTCTGTCTTCAAGCCGGGACTCTCCCCTTTGTCAGATTCTGCGCTGGACTCACACGCCCATCGTGAATCCCCTGCCAGAACTCGCCTTCTCTGCAGCCCTTCTCCAAGCCTGTCCCACTTAAGGGCTCAGGTGTCCTTAGGGGAAAAACACCTCCCTAGTAATCTTCGTTGCTGTAAGGCTGTGCTGTTAAGTGGCTTTGTGGTCCAGGATAAAGGTTTCTCTTCATTTGCTAAACTAGAGAAGATGTCTCTGTTGTGCCAGCATTGGGACAGGTTCTATGGTAGGACAGACTGGTTAATTTTGTGTATATGTAGGAAACTACAGCTGTCACTTGTTAACTCTCAAGCTGTCCTTAGAACCCTCACATTCCCAGCTCTGGATAGCTACCCAGCAAGCATGAGAACCCTTCATCACATAATACGTCTTTCCATATCTGCTGGCTATGTATTTTTGCTTCAGCAGAATGAAATGATTTGGTATACCATGGTTGGCTAATCGCTGCCTTTGCACTGTTGCGTCTAACGCAGCTTTTGCTTGGAGGGAGTTTACTATTCCACCAATTCTTGTTGGTATCTTTGGGGCCTAATCTCAAAGCTTGCATTTTCCCGTAAATACTGCAACTGAATAACCTCACCCTAACACTTCTTTCTGTACACTGCCTCCTTTGTTGATCTCGTCCAGTCTTCTGTTTTTAAATACTGCCTACATTGCATTATTTCAGGACAGGGAAATAAAAATAAATAAATAAATAAATAAATAAATAAATACTGCCTACATGTTGATGAGTCCCAAATTTATATCTCCAGCTGAGCTCTCTCTCATTAACTCCATACTCAAATATCCATTGCCTACTTAACATCTCCACTTAAATATCTCATAGGCATCCTAAATTCAAATGTATAAAACCAAGCCCCTGATCTTCCTCCCCAAACCTGCTTCTTACAAAATCTGTAAGACAGCTTTCATTGTTCTAATTTTTTAAGGCCCAAAACCTTTGTGTCATTCCTGAACCCATATCCAGTTCATAAGCAGGTTGAGTTGAGTCTAACACAAGATATTCCTGGATTCCTATCACTTCTTCCCACTTCCATTGCTACCAGTTTAGTCTAAGGCACCTTCATGATTTACCTGATGCTACCTGCAGCAGCCTCCTGGCTGGTCTCCCTGCTTCTGCTCTTGCCTCACCTCTAATTATTCTCCAGCATATCAAAGTCATCTTAAACCACATCATATCAGTCCTTTGCTCAAAACCCTTCAGTGCTCCCTGTCTACCTCAGAATAAACCCAAAATGTCTCTGCCATGGAATTTTGCTGTTCAATACCAGTTATTAGCCACCTGTGGTTATTGAACACTTGAATGTGTCTAGTGTAACTGAAGAATTGAATTTTTAAACTAATTAAACTTAAGTTAACTACATCTAGATTTAAATTTTAAAATTAATATTTAATGTAATTATTGTAAAACTTTTCAGCATACTTGGAACAAAGCATTTGAACCATCTTTTTCAACTTTAAATTTTGTGAGATCTGAATGCAAATACAGTACTTCCAAGTGAAAATGTCTGAGTTTGAAATGTGCTGTAAGTGTAAGTGTAAAATACACATTGGATTTTGAAGACTGAGTATGAAAAAATAATGTAAATATATTACAGAATATATTATTGACTTTTGGTTTACATAAATTATTAAAATTGAAAGACATTGTTTAATCTTCTCTTTCTTCTAAGCCCTTTACATATAAAAAAAAAAATCTTGTACCCCATGAGCATTCATCAAGCTGCCTACAACAAACACCACTTTTAGTCATTGCAGATTTCACTTTAAATGGTACTTGGGGAATACAGAAAATAATTTTTAAATAGTAGTTACAGGTTAAAATAATATTTTTACTATAGTGAGTTAAATAAAATATATTATTAAATTTAATATTACTATGCAGAATCATAGTCCAGATTTATTCTCTGGAAATCACAACAACCAAAAACTGTACAAAAATAAATCAAACGATAGTTCTCAAGCATCAGACATCAGGCAGTACAGAACAATGATGCTTAAGAGTAGGGAAAGAAACATAAGATTGTCCCCAAATTACTTCCTGGAGAGAGTTTCCAAGGTACAGCATAGAAAGGGAGAAGCCAGGCATTGCCTGGCATTCCCCCTAAGTTAAGGAGATGGAGCTCAAAGTCTGGAATGGCCAAGGCAGCTAAAGTTCACAGTACAGAGTATCAGAGAAAATTGAGCAGAACAGAAAGAGAATTCTGAAAATCTGCAGAGGATCTTCTTGAATCTCCCGCTGGGTAATGATAAGTGCATGTGTGTGAGGCAAATTAACAGCCAGAAGAAAGGATTAGAGGGAATAATCCATGTAGCTCATAAAGGACAAAGAATAGTTCATGTTCACAGAGCAACAGGTAAAGGATTCATGATATTGCCTCAGTACTGGGACAAAATTAGGCCTAGACGAAAGCCTGCACTGGTCCAGCATAACAAAGCCTAAGAGCAAACCTTAAAAGGATCAGACTGCTTCCACATAATTTAATGCATCCAAAAATAAAGCTCAAGAATATTTATAGAAATGCATGAAAAAACAACCTGGTCAAATTTAAAATATCTGTCATCTATTTGAAAAAATTACTAGCCATTTAAAGCAGGAAAATGTAACTCTAAATGAGGAGGTGGAAAGAGAAATCAGTCAATTGAAATAGACTCAGAAATGGCACAGATGACAGAATAACAGTAATTATAACTATATTCCATATGTTCCAGAAATTAGAGGAAAGTGTAAACATGTTAAGGATAGATGTGGAATATATGATGTCTTGAGATGAAAAATACAATGTCTACAATAAAAAAAAATATATTGGATAGAATTAATAGCAGATTAGACCCTGGAAAACAAAAGACTTGAAAACATAGCAATAAAAAAACTATGCAAAATACATCACAGAGAGAAACAAAGAAACAAACAAAAAAATTCACAGACCATCCACGAGTTGTAGGGCATCGTAAAGTGGCCTAATGTACATGTAATCGGAGCTTCCAAAAGAAAGGAGGGAGAACTGAAGAATTTGAAGAATTCTATTTGAAGAAAAAGCTGCCAAAATTTGTTCAAGTATGTTGACAACCAATAGATTGAAGAAGTCCAACCATACATCCCAAACACTATAAATTTTATGAAAACTACACCTAGGCACATAAGTAAATTTTTCAAAACTAATAATAAAAGGAAAATCTTATAAACAACAGGAGAAAGAAGATACATTACATATAGAGGAACAATCAGGAATGACAGCAAACTACTTGTCAGAAACAATGTAAGCTGGAAGACATCTTTAAAACATTGAAAGGAATAGGGGAAAAAAACTATCAACCTAGAATCATATGTCCAGCAAAAATATTGCTCATTAGGAAGGAAAAATATAGACCTTTTCAGTTATACAGAAGCTGAAGGAATTCATCACCAGTAGAACTTCATTACAAAAAAAAATTAAAGTATGTCAGATAGAAAAATTCTAGATCTACATAAAAGAGCAAAAAGTAATGGAAATGGCAAATATGTGGATACATATAAAAGATTTTTTATTTTTAAAACGTCCCTAAAAGATAACTAAAGCAGAAAATAACAACAATGAATTGTCAGGTTTAAAGCATGTTCAGAAGTAAAACATGTGACAATAATAGTGCCAGTGTTGGGAACAGGAAAATGGAAGTATATTGTGTAAGGTTTTTTTCTACCATATGTAAAGTGGAATAATATTACTTGCAATAAGTGAAAGATGCACTCTATAAACCTCCACTGTCCATCATGGTAGCCCCTTGCCACATGTAGCTATTGAGCACTTGAAATGTAACAAGTCCAAAATGAAATGTGCTATAAGTATAAATTACATGCACAAATTTCAGACATTTACCTAGAGTTTTTAGACATCTAGATAAATGGCCTTTGACCTCTGATCTAGGATGTAATTTGAAAGTATCCTCAGAAAGTATCCTCATGGATCCAAAGTGGAAACTTGTCAGAGGTGAGTGCATCTGCTGGAAATCTAGATCAAATGTTTTAAAATCCAGACTCAGATTCTATGAAGCATTTATTTAGACAGTTGTGAAAATAGACATCATTTTATCTCTGATGGGCCAAAATAGTTTTTGACACATATCATAGCAATAGGTTCAACACACAATCTATCAAGACAGGCCTAGATAGTTCAGAGTAGCTAACTATCAAAATTTCTCTTCCAAAAACTTCAGAATGGGAAAATGGGATTTAATTGAAATAATTTGTCTCATCATTGGAACAAATACTCTAATTACACAGCACCATCATGCACTCTACTTTCACCATGATCCCAGGACTAGTTAGGAGAACCTCTGATCTGGAGAGAACTGAAAGTAAAACAAGAAAAATAAAAGGAAAATAAACATGTAAAATGCTCTCTTATGAGGTAAGATGGTATCCCTTCTTAGGTGTAAAAGTTGTGCAGAGTATAAGAATGTACCAG